ACAATAAACAACCAACAAGTGGTATACAATAAACAAATGTATTACAAAATTCATTAAGTGTATAAATTAAAACAAATTACTGCACAGCAATTACAAAAGCAGTAAACAATGGAGTGGTAGTACAATATTCAATGGCAGTAAACAATAGAGTGGTGGTACAATATTCAATGGCAGTAAACAATGGAGTGGTAGTACAATATTCAATGGCAGTAAACAATGGAGTGGTAGTACAATATTCAATGTCAGTACACAATGGAGTGGTAGTACAATATTCAATGGCAGTACACAATGGAGTGGTAGTACAATATTCAATGGCAGTACACAATGGAGTGGTAGTACAATATTCAATGGCAGTACATAACATGATGGCAGTGGTCAGTATCAAATACAAAATTACAGCGGTGATAGCAAAAGTCAGTGATAGTAATACATATTCACCAAGCGTCGACGGTGGTCAAGCTTCCAAGATGGGCTAGGCAGGGAATCAGGAATGTGCAGCCCCTCGCAGAAAGACTTGCTGGAATGCTATATTGCCTGCACTAAATAGAAGGGTTTGTGATATGTTCTGCTGTCAGTAGTGTACACGCTCCATACTCATGATATCAAAAATACTCTAATAGAGAGTGTTATGTTTACTTCTCCTAAACATTTTCCATTTCATAAAAACCTTTTCACTGAATTAAAATTGTTCCTTTCTAGAAGAGGGAGGGTGTTATGTGGCAGGTGAGACTGTTCTACCTGTATTCGTAGCAATTCTCAGTAATTGAAGGTTCGGCAAAATATCCAGGGTTGGGCGGGCAGATTTAAGCGGCACTCGTTCGGAAACTTGAACGTGGCAGGTTTTTTTAAAGGCAGGTTGTATTTACATTTTAATGTCATACATAAAATGTGCATGGATTAGTTGTTCATTTAGCATAATTATTAACGGGAGATACAGTTTATTGCATATAGACGAAATGCCAAATGAAAGAATAACAAAAATACAGACTGATGATGTGCATGTTTGTAGCATAGACAAATCACATATCGTAGTTTATACAGGATTTCTAAAAGATAAAGGTAAAAATGACCAGAGGGCAGTGAACTTGCATAATTACAGTTTGGATATGCAGTGAATTTTGTAATTTCATAATATCTTAGTATATATTTTTCAATTTTCAGACAAATTGGTTTACTTTTTTCTGTTAAACGTGTTAAGCATAGATTTTGTTTCAGTAATTAATGCATTGAGTGAGTTGTTCTTCTCCTCTTAAAATCAAGACGATATGTTCATTACTAAAATTAATTTTGCCTTCTGCATAGTTCCCAAGTCAATCTTTCTGAAAGTTTCGTCCATACATCAGCAGCATAGTGACAATTACACAATACATGAGTTTAAATCAAACATATTTTCCAAATGATTATAAAAATCTATGCCTGATGAGTTAAACTGAGTTTAAATTATTTACGTACTTTGTATCTTGATTTTGTTTTGACCCTGTCCATAATCAACGTTTCAGTATATATTTTTCAACCCTGAAAATTGGGCAAAACAAATTAATGTACTCATTGTGTTATAGCGGGTGTTTTTTACATCCAACTAAACTTAATGTAGTATCATCTGCAAATTGTGCTAGCAGAACTTTATTATTACCCATCTGTATAGCTTTGATTATTATCATGTCTTATCATTATTTCCAAGATTTCTGCACAAGGAATAAAGATATATGGTGATATAGGATCCCCTGGCGACAACCCCTTTTAACCTTAAAAAGAGACTAGCATATCCATTTACCAATCCACTTGTTTTAATATTTTGAAAAGAGACTTTTACCCACTGTTGAATACTTGGTCCAAATTTAAAAATAAAATATTACATTATGCACATATCTTCTTTCCACAGAATCAAATGCTTTGTCAAAATCAATTAACTTGGTATTTGGTAAGATTCAGTATATCCGTCACATCATAAGTCATTCCTGTATCCTCACCTATATATCTACAAGGCAAAACATGTTTTATTCTGTTTGTAATTAATGCTGCAGCATAAATATTCCATTTTCTTCATGCATGTTCTACAGTCATCTGCGAACACTACCTTTTAGGGGGTATATCTATATCATCCAAATGTCCATACATATATGTCCATATATATATGTATAAAGCAAGTCGTCCTACACTCTTCCTGAAAAGATAAATGCTAAGCATTTCCTCTGTATGTATTTATATATGTAAATATCGTTTTAATGTCAATGCTGATGCAGTGAACGTTACACAAACCTGATGCTAGAATAACATCTAATTTCTAAAATGAACATATTTTACAGAAAAAAAATAGTTGTTAAACAATAGTTATAAAATATAATAACAAGGAGCCAAGAGACTTTCTTCATTTTGCCAACTATTGGGCTGTGTTGGACATATTTGTTTCGGGGTCAGTATGACAGACAAACCTGATGCCTTGAAGTATAAAGATAAGTAAGTATAGCTGTTGTATAGATTCAAATATGTTTGTGATTAACCCAACCTTGAAAAATATTGAAAGATGAGTGGTAACTATTTATGTCATTATTTCAAATTAGAATGATAGCACATCAGGAAAACATGGCACTTTAATATACGTATCTTGTTACCCCAATAGTCTTTTTTAAGTAAGAGCAGCATGTATATCGAGAGTATAGGTTTGGTGCGTGACTTATCACACAGTACTTTCAGAAAGTGTGCATATTCTGTTTATCGGCAATAAATAACATAAGACGAATTATACGTGTAAATACGATTTACTTCAGAACTAGTATAGATTACTTAAGGTTAGGGGGAAATGTATGTAATTAACAGAACCTTGGACGGGTTTAAAGGATTTGGGTCCTGGCTTGGGCTTTGTGTTGGACGTGTAGACGGCATTTCCAGGTTTGACGTATCAATGACCAAAATGATGTCTGATGCAATTCTCTGCCTTTTCGGGTGAACAATTGGCTTGACTGTGCATGTGTTTGTGGCGGGTGCCACCAGTGGATCGGAATGAGCTCGCGTTTTTGCGAGCACCCAGTGTCATTATTTATTATGGTGAATCATGAAGCTCCTGATGTTGTCGTAATCGTGCAGTTGCCGCTACTTTTGGCAAGGGTTTCTTATGGTAATGGAAATGCTTATGTCGCTTTTGTTGACTGATGAACATGAAAAGATATAATGTTAGTGTATATGGTCATGCAATTAAGAAACAAACGACGAGTGGGAGTTGTTTATTGTACTATAAACAACGACCACGACTCGTTTATTTCTCTATGAGATATCAACATTACGTACAGCCTCTTTGAGAGTGTTAAATTAGGAAAAATTACACGCTTTAAAATATCTCACTTTCGGATTCGATTGTTCGGGCACTGCGTTTATCTACCTTCTCCAGCAACATTTATTGGGAACAACTCACTAGACACATACCTCTCAAAAATAAGGTCACATTTACGACGTTTTCAAGTTGCGAGTGCATGTTCGAATCTCCATAAATGACGTCATGATAGAACAATGTTTTATCGTGAAATAAATATCGCTTCCTTGCTAGTTCTTTGCGATTTATCGCGTAGCTATCTTATATCATCAAATGTCAAGTTCTTATTGCTTTATCATGATGTATCCGTGTCATAACCAATCATGTAGCAATAGCATACACAAATATCGTTGACTTCGACGTAGAATAGTGTCATGAAATATGATTATCATTTGGTGTGCAATATTTCTGGTTGATAAATCTAACATATTCTTACTTTTAAGAATAGCGACTATACATTATTATATCACTAATTATCAGGTCTCTGTAACATTTGCAAAATAATACAAATTTCAAAATACAACTGAACCTAAATGTAATATTGTAATATCCTTAAGTTGCTGAGTGCGGCATTTGACAACAAACAAACAAAACATAATATCTTTAAGAATTATGTTAACAATTCCGATGCTAAAAGATAATCTCACAATCCCCATATCTCTTTCTCTATGTTTAATATGAAAACATAATAACGTTTTTTTAATAATCTGAAGGAATAATAATGGCAATACTATCATAAGTATCATCATTATTTATGTTACTTATCCTCAAGTGAAGTAGTCCTCCAAACTATACATTCAGTGAAGAAGCCCATGAACATATTAACAATGTAATATACATTAATGGAAATTAGATGAACAGTTGAAGTTACGTCTATCAGCCATCTATTCTATTCATGAAGAACATTTCACGTGGGACCAACACATGGAATTATGACTATCGACTTGCTTATTATTTTTTTTATATTCATGCTAGCTTAAACGATCTATTGGTTTGATTTATTGTTATGGTATCCACAAAATAAGTAGGATCCGATGTTTTCCGTTTTTGATGAAATAAAACCGAATTATATTTGCCGTTTACATATCAAAGTTTGCCGAATTGTTACAAAATGTTTGCCCACAGCAAGGCTACGTATTCCCAACATATTGTGCTAGGGACAGTATAAATGGACTGAGGGAGGGCGGTATTCCTCCTTGTGGGTCACCTGCTTGGCAATATGGGACGGAAGAAGAAGAATTGTACAGCATAAAAATGGCTACGTAGTTCGGGTAGATATGTAGAATGCCCGGCCAGTTTGACCCTTGAGTCACTAAAGTTTCAGTCATTAAAATGCGTAAAACAGTATTTGAGTGAAAGAAAACACTATAAGTGAATGAAACAAAAGACATCAGTACAGGCAAACCCAGTCCCCCAACCCTAAGTCTGCATGTACCAATACTCATACCTGCCACATCCTCAACCATGGCGCGTGGCGGACGGGTTCCACACGAGTGACCAACGGGGTGCACACGGGTTGCGTAACGCGGTGCCCATGCGTGTAAGGGGAATGAACTTCTAGGCAGTAGTGTATATATGTCTGTTTATAAGTCTCATATATTCTCTCACAAAAGTTGAGGTTGCCGTATGTCTATTCGAACTGTCATTCGGAATATTGTTGATGTAAACAATTGGACATGAGGATTGTTTTTTTATGTAACTGCTGCTTATATGTTTTCTGACATTGTGAAGCAAATATACTGAATTATTCACTCTGTATGTATGCCTTTAATTCGCTGAAGCATTGAAATAAATGTCTCTTCACATTCACATCGACCTACGAAAGTCGGAACTCTCATCCATACAATCTGTTAAGAATCGTCATTTACAAAGACATCTCATTGGCTGTGAAAACTATTTGCAATGGTTATACTTGTAATTGGTTATATAATGAAAAATAATGCAAAGATATCATTTCAATTTTTAACACACTAAATTGTTGTTGTTTATTGCAGACCCGTGAAGATCCGAGCTAGAATAGGTCTTCAGCAACCCATTAATTTCATGCTTAAGGGGCAATTTGCATCATATGACGGATAATGAATTCACAGAAAAGGAATACAACCGCTCAAGGGTTTCGGGTACTCGCTTTTTAGTGTACATTTTATGAACCGTAAATACATTTGCGAGAGGAAGTTTGCCTATAATCCCCATCATTGCTTTGTTTTCTGAGATAACAAACATCTGGACAGTGTCCTTTGGATTCAAGTGTTGCAAGAGTCCTTTCAACAGAGCCCATGCGATGAAGTCGCTATCAGCATATAAAGGTGCAATCTCATTGCCGTATTCTGTTACACCCAAACAGCCATATCCTACTACACGACCGGAATGTAAACGAGCAATAAGAATATGTTTTGCACGGTTGATGATCCAGTTCTTGAAGAAGTAATCCCTCTCGCTCTCACATACATTCTCGTCGTACGCTTTCAACTCAGTAAACATGGAGCCTTCGAAGGGGACTATGCTGATTTCCGGACTCGCTTCTGCATCAGGAATTGCCCCCAGTATGACTTCCGCTGGCCCACGTTTTTGGTGTACGTCATAGTAGAAAGTGAAGCCATGGGTGTCGTAAATGTTAACGAAGGTAGCTGATATGACGATGTTGGCGTCACCGACTGCCTTGAGTGATTGAAGGTTCACATCACGTCCGATTCCTTTGCCTCTGAGGTCTTTCCTCACGAGATAAATGCCACCAGCTACTGTCTTCTCGTTATAAAACGCCAAGACACGACAAGCTGTTAAAAAATAGATACAGTTATGGCACAGATGTGAATAAACATAAGAATCATGATTATTGAAAGGTCATAACTTTTAACATATATATAGATATTTCATGCTATATGAGGATTATTTGTCAGCCGCCTATGCTTGTCATATGGGTCGAGGAAATAGGCCAGCTTGGTGGTTTATGACCGATCACCATGCTCTGACTGCGTGCGAGGCTGATCTTCATACCAGTCACTTGTTTGTCTGTTCCAGACTTGATTATTTACAGGCCGCTGCCATATACCTGAAATATTACTTGCTGAGGTGTTACACAATACATTGAAGTGTCTCTTTGTATCTAATGTGAATTGAGCTTGTTTTCATGTGTTTCTGAAACCTTCAGAGTCCTTAGCTGAAAAGATCCACAAGCAATGCCACATTCTACCATGAATTGGGAAAATACTCGATTTTGATTGGTCAATCAGAGACAATGAAAACAGCCGATCTGACGGCCGGATCACCAACGAAGCTAATAATTATAGAATAGAACCTCTTTTACAGTCATTGTATTTCAATAATGATATGTACAATTACAGGCTACAGAAGTTGCTGTTACTACAATATTCAAAATAGTTTATGGCAATATATTTCGTGCAGAAAATACGAAAGTAATCTACTAAGAGAATGTATTTCAAGTTTTGTGGACAACAGAGAGCTTGCTATTTGGCGCTTTTCTATGTGCGACTTTGATGTCATAATGCATAACAATAGGCGATATGACGTCATAATAGTGACGCGAGGTTTAGAGATGAAGCATGTTAGACATGCTTTCAGTGCCTGTCATACGTTCGTGTGAAGTAGTACGGTGCAAACAAACTGCATGACAATAAAGAGCGCCATATTTTGTTTAATGGCTGTTGCTGGTGATTTCGTAAATGCTGATCGACAACCCACTCAAGACATTCAACCCATGCGCTTCAGGCACTAAAGATTTTGCGTTTTATTTAGTCATGGTTTTATGGAGATAAACATACTTCATTTTCAATGTAGAGCTAGGTTACTTGTAGATTTAATCAAATTTAAACTTGGAACTCAACACGGAGCTGGATGATGTTGTTTGATGTAACTTTGTTCGGAAAAAGAAATTGCTTGTTTGTAGGATTTCCTCACCACGCAGTATTTGGCCCCAGCAGGCCTTCAATGTACAATAGAGCGTACGAGACGGAGCGTGTTCAAACAACATATCCAGGTAAACGACAGTCGTTATATAAATAACACTGCTATTCGCTGATCAAGCCAGGATCACCTTGACCTCCATTCTACGTACACCTCCTTGAGCCTGTCATCCCATATCATGCAGACGCAACTAAATCTGTATGTTGTTACACACTTTGTTTGTCAAGCTTAAACACCGGGCAAATTTCAGTACGTCGCTGACATTTTAGCGTTGTGCCCAAAATAACTTAATAGCATGTCAGTTCATATGAAATATTCGAAGCTATGGCAGGGAATTGCACCAGGTTTTATTCATCTTAAACTGGACGTTTTATGTAATGGTTAATCGAGTCAAGAAGAAATGCAGTGGTTTTCTCTATTAGTATTTACAGTGAAAGGACACGCGTACTTTACGCTCACCTACCCACTCCCCCAAAACGGATCCCAGACACTTGTCCACCACCTCCACCTGATACACCTATGTACGCACTTCCCACCCCAACAAGAACCATCCACCCACCCAGATCTAGACATCCATGCTGATTTGTGAATATAGGTGGACCAGTAATGTCATTCGTTGTCTTATAGTGGAGTAAATGCAACCGTACCTAGTATTTCGCCCGCGTCGGATGCAGCTACAAACCAGGCCCTTGAATCCATATCAAACGTGCAGTACATCAGGTCAAGTGGAATTTCCCACTCATCTATGTTAGTCAAGTTTTTTATGGCGACTACATCAGCTCGAGTTGCTTTCCTCACAGAGTACTTCGGAACAACAGTAGCCATGTCAGAGTAGAAAGGAGGCCGAGATTACTGGAACAGTTGAACACCAAAGTCGATGCAGAACCATACACCAAATAGCAGGAAACGATGATCAGGATGGCCTGGAAATATACACAATTCTGTCTTGCTGACAAGGCACTAAATCACCTGTCATGCATTTGTGTTATGTATGTGTGCCCAGTGTATCCATAATTAACTAGAATGCTTCATATCTACAAATATATATACAAAATAGATATTTGCCCACAGCAAATATTCATTTGCTTAATTGTATCAGTGTGGATTATCAACACATGTACAATGCTTTATATTTCTTACGCTTGGTGGGGCAGACAGTAATTGAACATTAGGATAACGTCAGCAGGGATAAAAGAGGTCATACGAAAGAACTTTATTTGCTGTTGTGGTCATACATAAATATATGTAAGTTACATGGGGAGCAGGCTAGATTATTTACAGCTTTCAGCAATATAGTGCAAATATTATGTTCAATAAAAGAAAACGTTGACAGATCTATAACACACGTTTTGTACTATTAAACAAACTGTGGACTTTTAAGACATTTTCGCTTATTGTAATACCATCTAGGTAACAAATCATGTCTATCTCTGAAATCCACAAGCATAGTTGCTGTCAAACCTAAAAAAACATATTCGGGGCGGACAGTACCTTAAAGTGAGTGTATTCTTAAACTGTCAAAAGCGATTGACCCTTCAATACTAGTATATAGCTGGAAGCTGTCTTTCGGACTGTTATGAGTTATGATGTAGTTTATGATATTACTGGGGAATGTTCAAATCAGTTACTGTCATTTAATCCAACGTTCTAACTGTCAACTGTCTCAACAGGACCATAGGTTTGGTTATATATCTCCTCCCTGTCTCTATGTCTTAAGTTGTTAATCGGTAACTGCGGTCCAAATGTATCAACTTATTCATCTATTGTTGCAAACTTGACTGATTTAAAAATATCTAATTGATCATGAACTATTCAGTCAGTCAAGCACCTGTATCAGAAATGTAAAACCAGCCATGTTTCATGTAGTCCCAAAATCTGGCAATTATTTCTTCGCTTTATCGCTGAAAAATGCTGATGTAACGTGACATATAAACTTACTCACAGAAAAATTATTTTTCGCGAGAGTGAAGCACAATTTTATTAAAGTTTTATTAACAATTTCATAAACTATATTATATTAATATTAAAATTCATCATCACTTGCCAAGTTTATGAAAATGTCACCAGTTGGGAGATGTCACAGATAAACAAGGATTCGAACTAAGTTTGATCGTCTTTGACACTGAGGTTTATCCCCACTTTGCCAGCAAACTGCAGAGGATTAACAGTGAGAGAGTGATCATCGTTACTATGTTTATACAGGAAAAGATGTCATGCCAAAAACGCTCACAGTAGTTAGTGAGTAAACTCAACGGAAGATTTTACAAGTATCCATCACTACCTATGAAAGCTAACATGTGTATAAACTCAGTTCATTGAAATTTAAATAATAAAGGAACTTGCAGTGACGAGTAAACGAGTAATGAGTGAGATATATATATACAATATCCATCGATAATCAACGTCTATTATCTCAATCCTAAAAAGTACGAGAATATGTAGTTTACTGAGTGAGTGAGTGAGTGAGTTGGGTTTAACGCCGCTTTTAACATTATTCCAGTTATATCACGGCGCGTCAGCTTAATGAGGGAGGAAAGCCCGAAGTGATGCAGGTCTCAGACGTTTACCACTTCGGTGAAACCCACGAGCACGGGTATGGTGCTGACAAACCTAGAAACATAATTGGGGCGAACTGGGATTCGAACCCACAGTCATAGGTTTCTGGCATGTCCAAGGGACGCAACTCTGCACAGCAAATCGCGGCACCCTAGACGACTGGGCCCCCCGTGCCCCCTGTAGTTTACTGAGAAAGTGTTATCCAAATATAGTATGTGTTACTGTTGACCACTTTCTTAATAGCATTGTGGGTCCAAAGCTTTCGGCCACAGAATCAGTGCCATTTTTCACTAGTCAGAGGGGTACACAAAGTACGTGATCTGGACTAACATGTGTGTGTGTGTGTGTGTGTGTGTGTGTGTGTGTGTGTGTGTGTGTGTGTGTGTGTAAATGTGGGCCTGTTGGAAATTACATAAAACATTCATCTTGAGCGGGATGGTAGTTCGAGTTGGATAAGCATGTTAACTATGATCTTCTTAAGGTAGAGAATGCCGCGTATGCATGTATTAATGAGATTCCTAGGTACATGGGGCCTTTTCGTCACCAGGAATACCCACAGTGGAGACTTAAATGGGGAGCACTTTATGTGAGCACGAGTAGCTCTATTGGAATGAGATGAATAAGTGTTACAAAGTTGTAAGCTTCTTCACAACCGTGGAACTATGAATTGGCTTTATTTGATAATCAAAAAAGAGATAGCGACCTAAAATAGCCACATTTGATACAATTTCACCTGTCCACCATCTTGGATGCAAGGCGAAAACATTTCAGCGCGTTTGAAGCCACTGAGAATGCCCCCTGCAGAGTTGCGCGATCATTCTGCGGTAGCGCGGCTGAGTTGACTAGAGGCTATCAACAGTATTTCCTGTCAAGGTTATTTATGTCCGTTGTTTGTGTGTGTGTGCGTGCATGCGTGCATGCGTGCGTGCGTGCGTGAGTGAGTGCGTGCGTGCGTGCGTGCGTGCGTGCGTGCGTGCGTAAATGTGGTCCTGTTGGATTTTACATATAACATTCATCTTGAGCGGGATGGTAGTTCGAGTTGGATTAGCATGTTAACTACATGATCTTCGTGAGGTAGAGAATGCAGCGCATGAATGTATTAATGAGATTACTAGGTACATGGGGCCTTTTCGTCCCCAGGAATACCCACAGCGGAGACTTCAATGGGGATAGGGTGTACACAATGTGCTACCTGGTAGATTGTGTGTCATCAAACCGGACAACGTTGGTCTTTGACTGATTGTGGCGTAAAAGACACTTATTCATTTACTTGTATCTGAAATTGAATGTTCATCTTAATTGTTATTGATGAACACGTAATATATTTTGATTGGTTGGTTGGTTGGTTGTTTAACGCCGCACTCAGCAATATTCTAGCTATATGACGGCGGTCTGTAAATAATCGGGTCTGGACCAGACAATCCAGTGATTAATATCATGAGCATCGATCCACGCAATTGGGACAGATGACATGGATCATAATATATTTTGAAAGACATAAAACAGTGACATAATAACTACAACTTTATGTGAGCACGAGTAGCTCTATTGGAATGAGATAAATAAGTGTTACAAAGTTGTAAGCTTCTTCACAACCGTGGAACTATGATATGGCTTTATTTGATAATCAAAAAAGAGATAGCGACCTAAAATAGCCACATTTGATACAATTTCACCTGTCCACCATCTTGGATGCAAGGCAAAAACATTTCAGCGCGTTTGAAGCCACTGAGAATGCCCCCTGCAGAGTTGCGCGATCATTCTGCGGTAGTTGACCAGAGGCTATCAGCCGTATTTCCTGTCCAGGTTATTTAGGTCCGTTGTGTGTGTGTGTGTGTGTGTGTGTGTGTGCGTGCGTGCGTGCGTGCGTGCGTGCGTGCGCGTGCGTGCGTGCGTGCGATCGTGCGTGCGTGTGGGGTGTGGGGTGTGGGGTAAGAGTTGGGGGGATAGATGATAAATTTAGCACAAAGTAAGGTCATCTTGAGCGGGACGATATTTGCAGATGGATTAGCATATGAACTATGATTCTCTTTAGGTAGAAAATGAGGATCCACGATGTTCGACCTGGTAAAAGTGTGTAATAAAACCCCACAGCATTGGTTTTTTGACTTACTGTGGCGTCAAAACAAACTCATTCATTTACTTGAAGTGAATGTTCATCTTAATTGTTATGGAAACAAAGTTTTTAAAAGGAAGAGCAAAACTGATGAAAGTTACCAATAAACGTGTATAAGTGTTATATCGTCACTGCAAAAATAATGAGTTTTTGTCTTTAGTATTAACATTCAAATACGTTATATCTGTATTAGCGATATTGTCTACGTTCCACCGGTGAGTAAGCGTTTGCCGTACTATCTCGTAGTATAACTGTATTCCTGAAGACATCACGATACAGTTTTTACAATGCATCACGTCTGCACTAGCGCTTGATAACAGCCTTGTGTTTGGGTGTTTCAGTGGTTTAAATCGCTGCTCTTGATATTGTTGATTAAACTTTGATACTATGAACAATATAAAGTTATATGAGAGGATGACTTTAGAACGGTAACATACTTCTTTATATATATATATATATATATATATATATATATATATATATATATATATATATATATATATATATATAGGATGACATAAATAGAACAATGAGTAGTACGTCCAGATTAGTGTTTAGGCAACATTTCATAATTAAAATAATTAAATTCAACAACTCCACTTTAAAGTCTTTTTTCCTGACTTAAAAGTAAATGCAAGAACACAATCGGCCGGAATACAATGTATAATTCTGGTCCACTTCCATATGACTATATAGCATACAATAAGCTTTCGGATCCCGTTTAGATCGGTTGGGGTGGCAACCTAGATAGCCATAGAATAGTTTCTCTCGGAATCTCCCATATCACTGGGGCTCCTCTTTAATTTAAATGGAGTTACTTGTTACGATTCCGAACTTTCACGTGACTGTCTTTATGAATCATTGTCAAACAGTGGTGACATTAAATCTTGGAAACAATTCGCGAAATCGCGCATGCACAGAACGGAAAATTTGGACAAGGCATTAAGTAATCCGCATGCGCAGAACGATTGATTTCAGTACTTCCGCTAAACCCTTCGAGTGCAGCGTCAAACGCTGCAATCTAACACGCGAGAACTGACCAATGAAATCTGAGAAGTAGAAATACCGGTAGACGCTGTTGCTTGATTGACAATGCTTGATTGACAATGTCAATCAAGAAAGGGAGGAGTTTGACGGTATCGTTCTCTCCAAGTAAATTCCGATGTCAAATAACGACGTTATTTGGACGGAAAAACGATGGTTTGAAAACGTCCAAATAACGTCGTTTTTTCTTCAAATGACTATATACGGAAAAAACGACGTTTTCGTGTTTGCAGTGTAATTTATAAGATGTGTTAAGAAGGGAGAGAGGGCGCCAAGTTTTAAAAATTATTTTGGTTTATTTTCTTTTTGATCAATCATTGTTTTTGGGATACTGATAGAGATCCATTTCTGTGTGCACAATTTAGAGCATTTGTCAATGCATAATTTTATAAAACATTGTTTATTTAAAATCTTTTCATCTCGCAGACAGTGATTTACATTTGGTTTAATAATATACCTTACGATGATTTGTAACCAAGACTGCTCCACAGATGATTTTTAAATTAATTCGATCATTATTATGATCATCTGTTTGGGCGGATAATCTAGATTGGTTATTTTCTTGCATTGACAATTTATGATTTATTACTAGCGAAGGTAATACGAGATAACTGAGTGAGTGATTTATGGTTTATCATCACATCGGCAATATTTCAGCCATATCGTGACTAAATCAAGTTATATATTAATGAAACACTAAACTGAACTATAAAACCTGTCGACAAAGGACAGTAAAATAACTAGATTATCACAGTCGTATATTTAAAGCTAGCATGTCATTATGAAATTTGAACTATTCACAACAATACAAAACAAAGATGGGCTATAGATCACCAACAACCAGAGATAGGTCACCATACTAGGTACGTAATACGAGATAAAATTCATATGAGTATTGGTGACGGTGTACAACCACACATTCTGTCGTGCATTGCTTTCATAAACGTTATAGTTTCTGTTCATTGTGCTCTACACGTCTAAATCATGTCAACATTTTTCACTGTGAAATGTTAATGTCCGTGTTGGCATATGTCTCAAATCTTAGGCCGCGACGTTTTCATAGCATCGACATTTATATTTATGAGAGAGATGTATATTTTGCCAGAGGTGAACACCATATAGGCCTTGCAGGTGTGGCACTTGTATGAATAAATGATGTCTGTTTTCTCATAAATATAGCATATTTTAAAAATACACATCGTATAGCTAAGTGAGCATTTTGAAATAGTATCTATACTGATCAGATTTAATCCTGATGCTGGATTACTTGTACTTTTTGAATGAGCGAGTGACATTGTTTTAACATGGCTAGCAACATTTTTCCGCCTTACCACGTTTGGGAACAAAAAACATTGTTTCCATGTCTCCTTCGTTTTGACCGGTCAAAGCTTTAACAACCCGGCTTTCCCACCACCCCTTCTGCATACAGAAGATGTTTAGGAGATAAACCTACTGTGTTTTGAAATTTGATGTAGTCCTGCTTTAGCGTGAGCTTCCAAATTAAAGTAAAAGGAAGAATAGTTTATCTCCATTCTACCATGACGGCAAAAACGCTTTGAAAATTGTGCTCTCTTGCAACATGTAACACCACAGGGTACAAAGGTCCGCAATCTTAGACCATTCTGAAAAGTGGTAACATGTAGTTATATATGAAACAAATATTACTCAATATTCCTAAAGTTCAAGATTAAAAACACCATAGTCTTGATTAGTTCAAAATAAGTGTTCAAAACACATAGTTTTTCTAAAAGAAGTTGACAAATAACCCTCCAAACTTCGTCCAAAGACGTCTTGGAAATATGCGAGAGATGGCATTTCTTGAAAAATCGAACATGCCATTTCACTTTAGGGGTGACAGGTTGTAGAAATAGTTTTTAAAATGCTAAACGAATATATGTCTTCAACAAACTTTATGAATCAACATTCTACTATGTATTTAACATGTATAAGTCTTATTAGTTAGTTAGCAATTACCCCCAGTAAATAATAAAAAAATAAAAATAAATGCCTCTGAACCCCGAACTTGGATGTAGCAGAACTTGACCTACATCACGGTTACTCACACTTCACAACTGTCAATGGCTGACAATCTTGTGTTTACATTTTCCGTAACTAGCTAAAGAAAGCAAGAAAACCTGCCGATTTACTGGGAATGATCGAGCCCGCTGGTACAATATGATTACCAATTGAACCAATATAATTATATTTAGTGTATTGGATTTATGTTATTCATTGACCGTGAAAGTAAAATGAATATTACATTTAGCATCTACATTAAAACGTGGAGGCAATTAGAAACTGGAGACTGGGCGGCCTTATGTTTATAAAACATCATTGTCTTGTAGCAGCTGTGCATTGCATGTAAGGATCCGGGTTTTGTGAGTTCTTCATTGCAATAAATACTGATTATCATGCAACATCTGTTACCAGACTCGTGTGTCAGTACACTCAGTACCTAACAATGCACATGTCTTTCACAAACGTTCGTCACCAGTCCCAGTACCTGACCGTGCACTTGTCTTTCACAAACGTTTGATAGTAGACTCAGTACCTAATAGTGCACGTGGCTTTCACAAACGTTTGTCAGTAGACTCAGTACCTAATAGTGCACGTGGCTTCCACAAACGTTTGTCAGTAGACTCAGTAGTTAATAGTGCACGTGGCTTCCACAAACGTTTGTCAGTAGACTCAGTACCTAATAGTGCCCGTGTCTTTCACAAACGTTTGTCAGTAGACTCAGTACCTGATAAGTGCATGTGTCTTTCAGAAACGGTTTTCGCCAGTCTCGGCACCTTACCGTGCACGTTCTTTCACAAACGTTTATCAGTAGACTCAGTACCTAATAGTGCACGTGGCTTCCACAAACGTTTGTCAGTAGACTCAGTACCTAATAGTGCACTCGGCTTCCACAAACGTTTGTCAGTAGACTCATTTCCAATAGTGCACGTGTCTTTCACAAACGTTTGTCACCAGTCACAGTTCCTGAGCGTGAACGTGTCTTTCACAAACGTTTGTCAGTAGACTCAGTACCAAACCGTGCACGTGGTTTCCACAGACACCTATCATCTGACTCAGAACCGAGCCGTGCACGTGGCTTTCACTGAAGTGGTTAACATCTATCATCCGCGTCATTTCCCAAAAACCGAAAACTGGTTCGATTAGAAAAGATGTTTTAACATGACTGTGTTTGTTATCTTTGTGTTTTACAAGGTTGGGAAGCACCACGTAGAGATCCGAACTCGGGTTCTCATTTTCATGCAACACAGTCCCCATAAAATAACAATGTAAATAGTAAACAGTGAGACGTTTTACAGTGTCTTTCTGTACTCAGTTGGCACTTAGTTCATTATAAAACACAATGAAGGAGTCATACCTTTAATTACCGAGTTTCACTTGCGTGTACCTCTGTTGTTACTTTCAGAGAGATTGATGATCCCACTCACGCGTCAGAACAATCACTATAGTCCTGGTAAACAGCCTGCTATGAAATTATTCTCCCAATGTCCGACACATATTAATCTCTTCGTAAGTGTGAATATAAATAATGTTTGTCATTATCAAGCAGTTTGAGTCAGGAGAGTACTTCGTGCCCGAGTAATGTTACTACCTGGCTGCAAGTACATTGTGATGCATATTAAATAAAGTCACACAGTAATTGTACTTACTTGTCAAGCAACTCCAATCAAGTGAATAAGCTTTATTAGCAACAGGTGGCTAATACAAGGACAGGTCGGCTCTGAGTCAGTATTCTGTATTTGAGTGGAGATATTCATGGCAAACTGCAGCATGATATCTCAGTGGGCTAGCACTATAAATCGGCATAAGTAATAGCAGCTAAACACACATGCACACACTTATTATACCTCAAAGTAAGATGGACCAATCAGAGAACAGAACTACTGACCCCACATGAGCCCGTATACCGTCAGTAAAAATCCAAGATGGTTGATAGTGACCTAATATGAGTGAGTTAGTAAATATTTAACGTCACATCGGCAATATTTCAGCCATATCGTGACAAGAGTGAGTGAGTGAGTGAGTTAGAATTTAAAGTCACATGAGCAATATTTCAGCCATATCGTGACAATCGAGGGTTAAACATATAAATACATAGGGACTAACATAAAAACCTGCCGGATCCAAAGACGGTGGCAAAATAGCATGTGCCACCGTCATTGGATCAAAACATTTATCATCTAGAATACCAGACAATAGCTCTATTTTTTACAGCTGAGGCCAATGGTATCCAGCCTTAGTACACATTCAAAAACAGTCTGCAAATAAACAATTTATAATCTTTTCTGATTCTTTATCTTGTCTTCAGGCACTGAAAAAAGTCACGTCTAATCATCCAATTATTTTAAATATTTTTGAACTTTATAATGATCTTTCAACTAGCCAATATGAAATCGTATTTTGCTGGTTGCCCAGTCATGTGGGCATAAAAGGCAACACAATGGCTGATGCTGCAGCTAAAGCAGCCCTCATCAAATCTGTGACACCACTTCTAATTCCATACAGTGATTATAAATCTGTGATCAGATGTTAAATCCAAGATCTTATGCAAAAGAAGTGGGACACCCAAGTAGGTATCAATAAATTACATCAATTAAGCCAACTATCGGTTACACCTATCCGATTTGAAGAGGTCATTTTACGACAATGTCTTATTGGCCATTCGAGATATACACACGAATATCTATTAAAAGGTGAGGATCCTCCATTCTGTATCCCTTGTGATGAGAGAATCACCGCCAAGCATGTCCTGCTTGATTGTGTTAATTTTTCCATCACATGGGATACATATTTCAATGTTTCATCTGTAATGGATCTTTTTACTATGATTAGTTCTCATTTAATTATTGACTTTTTAAAAGAAATAGAATTGTATCATAAAATTTGTTTATATGTTTGTGTAAAGAAATAGCTTTTCAGAATTGGTAGAATTAAGTTATATCGGATATTGTTAGTGGCAGTATCCTCGAGGTGGGTTAAAGAACTGTAAAATTGTTGTCCCCCTGAGAGGATATCGTAAGTCCCTGTCATTCAAAGAATATTTACTTCTACTACGTTTTTAAAATTATGGCTAAAACTTACGTACAATCACCAACCACTGAAGGGATGGTGTAAATCCTGCTGGGGTCCATGCAGGTAGCAAAAGTACTGTTAGTCCCCATGGACCCAAGCGTGGTGATCTACCTTCAGTTGTTGGCGATCTATAGCCCGTTTTTATAATGTAATGTTATGTACAGTGCTATTGATTTTATGATAACGTACTAGTTTTAAATAAATTTATTTGATAATGCACTATGGCATTGCTGGAGACGTGCAAAATGTAAAAAACTTCGATCTGGATTGCTACTGCTCGAATGTAAAACAGAAAAGCAGTCTAAAACATTGCAAGCTGCCAAACATTTAGTCTCTACTGCTGTTTTGGTTTCGCCACACAAAAGTCTCAATTCTAGCAAAGGCATTATCAGAGATAGAGATCAGTGTCTCTATGATATGACCAAAACTGAAATTACAGAAGAATTGAAAGATCAGGAAAGATCACGTACAAAAGAGAAGATGCCATCTACAAATCAAACACATATTTAATTACTTTTTCAAAGCCAACTACTCCAAAAAGTTTTAAAGCAGGATATTTCAACATCGAGGTGGATAAATACATTCGGTGTTACAAATGTCAGCAGTTTGGGCATACAGCCCACCCATGGGACAACCGCAAGGAATGCCATCAATGTGGAGAACACGACCATGAAACTGCTGACAAATGTTCTCAAAATCCTAAATGTGCAAACTGCTCTGGTAACCATGTTGCTTCGTCGAAGTCATGTCCGAAGTTTAAAATCCAACACCAGATTGTTCAGTTAAAACATGAAAGGAACATCACCTTCTTGGAAGCAAATCGAATAATCATGGCCACTGTATATCCGACCACAGCTGTCTCCTATTCGGCAGCAGTGTCACGCCCACCTTCAAAAACAGTCACATCCGTTCAATGTCAGACGGATATAACTTGGGTTTCAACAGAAAACTATTCCTTGATACATTCTTCGTCTTCACAAACTGATACATCACCATCTGTGTCAACATCGTTAATGGCAGCAGCACCGGAGCCAGCATCAGAACCAAAACCATCACCTGTGGTGAAAAATGCTAACAACAAAGTTGACCATTGAAGAACTTCAGATCGTGTATCAAAGCGTCGCCGTGACCCTATTTAAATTTACAATCGATATCAGACCTTGGAGGACATGGATGTCTCTCCACAATCTCAAGGGCGCAACAGAAGTAAGTCGCCGCTAAATGGGAGAAATAGATCTCCTGTTCACCCACCTATTATATGAACAATTCCCATCCACTAGTACAGTGGAATTGCAGAGGTCTCAGGACCAATTTTAACGAGTTACATCCTTTAATACAAAATTATAATGCCATCGGCAATCTGTCTCCAGGAGACATACCTTAAGCAGAATGACAACTTTGATTTGCGTACAATTCCTATCATTCCTTTTCTCCACCAGGTGTTGGGGGGCACGGGTGGCCCAGTCGTCTAAGGCGCCGCGATTCGCTGTGCAGAGTTGCGTCCCTTGGGCACGCCAGAAACCTATGATTGTGGGTTCGAATCCCGGTTCGCCCCAATTATGTTTCTAGGTTTGTCAGCACCATACCCGTGCTCGTGGGTTTCACCGAAGTGGTAAACGTCTTAGACCTGCATCACTTCGGGCTTTCCTCCCACATTAAGCTGACACGCCGTGATATAACTGGAATAATGTTTAAAGCGGCGTTAAACCCAACTCACTCACTCCACCAGGTGTTAAAGCTACTGGCGGATCTTCTGTTTTGGTGAGGCAGGGATTGATCCACAGCCCTGTTTCACTTAATACCAATCTTCAAGCTGTTGCAGTCCGACTGACTTTGCACATAACATTTACTCTGTGTTCTCAGTAAATTTCACCTTCTACTGTGCTTCAGCAATCGGATCTTCAATCTTTATATGACTAGCTGCCTAAGCCATGCATGATCATGGGTGACTTTAACGGCCATAACCCGTTATGGGGAAGTGTTGCCGTCAACCCTAAGGGAAAAGTTCTTGAAGATTGTATTTCCGATAACAATCTGTGCATTTTCAATGATGGATCAAATACATATCTACATCCTGCTACTGGAACGTATTCCGCTTTATAATTAGATCTATCCTTAACAGATTCCAATCTCGGGAACACATTTACATGGTCGGTTCACGATGACCAGTGTGGAAGCGATCATTTTCCTTCAATTCTGTCAGCAAATGGTCCATCTGATGTTCCACCCACATCAAGTTGGAACTTAACCAAAGCCAACTGGCCTCCCTTTCCGGAACTCTGTACTGATAGGTTGAAGCCTGATGTGTTCAGGGATGTAACTGATTCTATTCAGCTGTTTTCTGATATCTAAAACGAAAATGCCGACATAACCATTCAAAAGTCCTCTGCACATTTGAAAACCATGGTTTGATAAACAATGCAAACAGGCTGGGAAGAGTAGGAAAAAGGCTGAGAAATATTTCCGCCGACATCTAACTGTCCATAATTGGAATCATGTCAAAATTACAAGTGCCAAGGCACACCGTACCTTCAAGCAAAATAAAAGTAATTAAGTCTTGGAGGAATTATGTTTCTAAAATTAATTCTCGCACGCCTATATCCAAGGTGTGGAACATGATTGCCAAAAGTATAGGTTCAAAATCGAATGTTCAACATCTCACAGACGGTGACCATCTGTTGACAGATAAATCGGACATTGCCAATAAATTGGGTGAAACACTCTTCATCTTCCAACTACAAAATTATCAGAAACAACAGGGAAAGAAGAGGGTTGATTTTACTTCTCAAAATGGAGAAGATTATAGATTTTCACGAGCTAAATACTGCCTTAGGTCAAGCACACGATACTGCAACAGTAGCTGGTAGTATTCACGATAAGCTCCTGAAGTATTTGCCTGATTCATGTTTAGAGACGCTTCTTGATGTATTTGATCAGATCTGGACATCAGGAAATTTTCCGCCTTCGTGGCGTAATGCAATAGTTGTTCCCATACGTAAACCTGGTAGGGACCATACTGATGCATCTAATTACAGACCAATATCACTAACCAGCTGTGTGCGCCAAACCGATGAACGAATGGTAAATAATCGACTTGTGTGGGACTTGGAAACTAACAATGTTTATTGTAACATTCAATGTAGTTTCCGTCAAAATAGAAGTACAATTGACCATCTGGTACGTTTAGAATCCTTTGTCAAAAATGCAATTGTCAATAATCAGCATGCAGTATCAATCTTTTTTTTATTTAGAAAAAGCATATGATACCACATGGAAGCATGGTAATTTAAAAGATCTACATGATTTTGGGTTAAGAGGCCGTTTGCCTCAATTTATGTCCCAATTTTTAACAGACCGACAGTTTCAGGTTCGTGTGGGTTCCACCCTGTCTGACCATTTTAATCAGG